TTTCGAGGAAAATACTTAAGGGGATGTTAAGGAATGGGCAGTATGAGGAACATTTACTGAGAACCAAATAAAAGCTAAAGACCAACTTTACAACAGGATATCTGCCGTTAGCCCTGTAATTCCCGTGAATAGCCTCTGGCTTTGCTGGATTTACAGCCTGACCTAAAAAGTACCCAGGTTTCTGCTCACCTCCCATGCACGAGCATGCTTTATCCGGGCTGGGTGAGGATGTTGTTTTCATCTTCATCAGAGGAATGGAAATTTTTTGTTTGGTTTTGTTTTCCCTGGGAAATTTTCCTTCACTATAAAAGCATTTATTTACAGTGGGAATCTCTGGTAACATCCATAGCTCCTTCCCAGAAATGTCGTGTCTTGTACTCTCAAAGGCAATAAAGAAGCTTTTGCTCCTATTTGGCTTTCGGTATGGCCATCGTTAATTTTGTCATTATTTCTCAGTGCTCGAGGTACCCAGTTTCCCCAGCCACTGTCGTTATTTTAGGGGTGAAAAAAAGACTAAAAAAAAAAAAAAAAAAGGCATTTCACATTTGAATTTCACCATTTGCTAACACTTACAGACCATGTAATTTCAGGTGGGCAGCAAAGCTGAGGCCCTTGACTAGTGGGTTTGGAGTCATTGTTAATGTGGTTAAACCCAAGTTAATTAAAAATGCAGCTGACAAACAAAACTGGGGAACCTGTCGTCAGGACTGATGGCCTTTCTGGAAATCTCCTGCAAAGCTCCCCTCCGAGTTGTGGCCTGCCTCCACCACGTGTGCTGTCAGTCACCCCACGAGCTGAGATAATTTACCCTGCAGCAGAGGGTGGTTTATCGCTTCAGAGATTTTGTAACTTCATTTTGAATAGGTTTGCTTTAACTCTTACCTTATGGGTTTCACAAAAAATGTAAACCATATTTTTTTTCAAAGAAAATACACATTTCTATGCCAAACACTGTAAGAGTATTCTGACTTCAGCGTTCTCACAAATAGTGGAATAACTCCACGTCTGTCCTCTGAAATGATTTTTGCTTCTAATGGAAAATCTCATGTCTAAATATTAGGAAAGTTTAAAAAAATTGAAGGGGCTGAAAGGAGGGAGAGATGTACATCAAATCCATCAGAATGCCAAATAATACCCAGACAAAAGATGCAAATATTAGGATAGTATCTTTTATATACTGGTTTATTACATAAAATATTGAATGTATTTGGCCCATCATAGGAAAGCTATGACTGTGTGTCAGTATTCACAAGCACACTAAAAAACACTGATAAGGGGAAGGGAAGGGAAGGGAAGGGAAGGGAAGGGAAGGCAAGGCAAGGCAAGGCAAGGCAAGGCAAGGCAAGGCAAGGCAAGGCAAGGCAAGGCAAGGCAAGGCAAAACTTTTTGCTTCAAATAAGACAAACATTCTTCTTAAATCCCCGCTATGTGATAGTCTTCAAGCATTTTAAAATTCTTAATAGATTAGGCAAACCTGATAATACAACAAAACTAATCTGTAAGGACCAACAGTGGAAAGGAAAAGCCCTCCTCTTAGATTTCAATTAAGCTGTGATTATTAAACCAAGCTCTAGACCAGGGAGCTCAGTCACAGTCTGGGAATTCATGGGACTATTTCATGCCGTATTATCAATTACTAGATACTGATTTCTCCTGTGATCCCCACAGGCATGTTTTCTGCCTCGTGCTCCCATGATCAAATCCATAGCTGTTTTCTGCATTGTAAATCTGCTCTTTGCTCAAGCCATTGCTTTCCCCTTTTACTGTCGACTCAGACATCTCCTGAGTTGAGCATGTCTCCTTCAAGGCTCTCCAGCAGCATCCCAGCAGCACATCGGTCAGGCAATGGTCCAGCTCCTTCCTCTTCTCTGTTTTGCAGGATTCCTCAAAGAAAGAAGCCTCACCCTTTGCTTCTCTGCTCATAAAAGGGCACCCACGATTTTTTCAGCAGCTTTGCGCATTGCTGGGAGCAGCTGTTGTGTGATGGAGCTGAGGACCACACAGGACCATGGAAGAATGAGCTAGCCAGGTGAGGCCTGCTGTTGCCTTCACTGACCACTTGTAGATCACCAGCCACTTCCAGTGCATGACTCTTTTCCTGCCCAACCTGCAGTCCCAGCCACTGATGCTGAGCTGCACCCAGCCCGGACCCAAACACCATCATCCCATGCACACCCCACCACTGCCACGCTGATGTGTTAAAGCTCTTGGTGCTTGCTGGCTTCACACCAGCTCCTGGGGCATTACTCGGCCCAGCAGCAAGATGCAACTGATGGGAAAGTGAAAGGGATAGAGTGGTGGAGCTGGTATTTAGGGCTGGTCCTCTGAGCAAAAACTGGAAATGCATCGTGCCCCCTGTTATTAAAAGCATCCTTCATTTCACAGCACAATTACACACACTTAGCCTCAAGCACTTGCTCTTCCATTTCACAGAAGTGTTTTAAAACTGCAGTGTGAAGGAAGACCAAATCGAAATTGCTTGTACCAAACCCTGTGCACTTCATCAGTAGGTGTTATGTTATTAAATATTAAAATATTTTATAGATAATCGTGATGCACAACCAAAAGCTGCAGGTGTGGGTCTGAAGGATCAGAGGCTTGGGGAGAGACACGCTGCCCCTTCCCTGCTCTCCAAACACAGCCTGGCAAGAAGTAAAATGGAAAAGAGTTTGGCAGCCAGCAGACCGAGGCGGTGCAGCAATCATGGCAGGGACCTTTGGACATCCTGGAGAACTTCCTGGAGAGGACTTGTGCTGGGCGGAGAAGGGCAGGGAGGTGGATCTGCCACCTCTCCTCAGCCCCCTTCCATACCTGCTCTGCACATATAAGTTTTTGGAAAGAGTGCAGCAAGCTAGGCTTCAATATCCTCAGTAACAGCAGTGCTACAACAGCAGGGATCTCACACAAGCCCAACCACTTTACTTTTCATTAGCCTTTATCCCTCATTAGCACGTCTTTCAGACTGGGACATGGGACGCTGGTTAGCTGGCAGGAGCAGACCATTTTCTCCCGTGAGGCAGGGTCACTTTACAGCAGGTTCAAGGTCTACATCCAGTTTATTTTTATATTTTTTAAGCGTTTCCTAACGCAATGTTTGTGATGGTTTGTGAAACGACTGTTTGTGGAAGAACCACGCTTTGGGTACAGCTACAGAGAGCCAGCACTGACCCGGGAGAGGTGTTTCTTTTATCTGCTGGCTCGCGTGCACTGGCTGGTCCCGTGCCCAGCTCCTGAAGGACAGAAATCTGTCGCAATAGCTGTCAAGTAGCCCTGCTCCTTCAGTTCAAAAGGATGGAGATTCATCAGCTCGGTTTTGAAACCCCCCAGCCCAGCCTTTGGGGTGCTGCATCCCACTTAGCCGAAATTTGGGGTGCCAAGATCTTAAGACTCCCGAGCCATGCAGGTGGTGGTGGTGGTGTTTGGTTCCCCTTCCCCAGGGGAAAACGAGCAGTGGGAAATTACACCTCCGCTCCCCACACACCGCTGGGGACTGCTGGCACCGCAGGGTGCAGCAAGAGCTGCAACGATTGCCTGGGCAGATAACCTCAGAAAAATGACTGCTTGGGTGTTTTCTTGGAGCTGTTCTGTATTCATGCCTCGTGGGGTCCGCTCACGTTGTGTTTTGAACAGCCGAGTGCTGCTCTGCACCTATCGGCAAGCGCATGGAGATTTTACTTAATAACTAACAAAATAGCCATCTCTTGCAGGCTGTTCCAGGGCAGAGTAAAGAGCTTTTCTTCCCTGCCTGGGAGGCTTTTTCTCGAGTTTCCAGGGCACACAGACACAAAGTGCCCTCGATTGCTCAGAGACCTTGTCCTGATGAGTTTGCCCGTGAAAGAAACAGCGTGAGGGGGGAGCCCCCGCTGCCCTGCCCACCCACGGTAAAACGCAGTGCATTTTGCAGAATGGCAGAAGCACGAGGTGACGGTCAAGTCAGGAGAGCAGTGTCTGTAGCAGTTGAGACTGCTCGCTCCGTCTCGGCAGAGCCAAGCCTCATTTCCACGGCAAACAAAAGGAGCATCACAGCCAGGAGCCTCCCCGCTGTAATGACATTCATCCCAGCGGGGCTCTGCTCCCAAGGAGAGCAGGCACCAGGAAATTATGTGCAATACATTTAAGTGATTTACAGCCCTGTGCTCGTACAAGCCCACTGTCAGCTCTAGTTACCTTACAGGCAACAGCAGCTTCAAGCGATTTAGAGATTTCTCTCCCGGCTCAGGATGTACACACACTGGGCTCCAAAACCCCTAAGCCAGAAGGGAAAATGCAATTTCAAGGAAGTCCACATCACCCCAAAAGACAGAGAAATCTAGTACATTGCTGGGAATGAAATCTCCCCCATGATGTTGAGAGGCCAGAGAGAGCAAGTGAGGGGTGGAGGGGTGTGGGTGACACGGGCACATCGGTGTGTGGATGGAGAGAGCTGGCTTCTGTGTCCATTTCCTGGCTGCACAGCTAAAGGAGGGCTGATATTCCTGGGAATTTATCCGGGGGCACACAACATCTGTCAGGGAAGCAATGGCAAGTGTGGGTGAGGCGGAGCGAGCTCGGGTGGCAGACAGTCAGCACGCAGCGCTGGGACGCACACGGTTTGGGACCCACACGTGAAATCCCCACACACGCCTCTGTTCCGCATTGTGCTGCGTCCCGGGGAGTTACAGCACACCTTCCAGTGCGCAAAAAAGCCTAGTTAAAGTTAAAAATTAACTTCCTTCTTTATCTAATGAGCTCTAAAGCTGAGCCCTGTCTGTCACACCTGGGCACCTCTCCAGCTTCTGCCTATAACTTCGAATCACCCTCCAGATGTCTCCTTTGCTCAGCGTTGAACTTTGTGCATTACCGAGTTCTTTTCACAGGAACCCATTTTTCTTTAGAAAAACGACCCAAACTGAGGCTGTTTTACTCTCAGTGCATTTAAGTTTTAGACCTCCCTGATGACCGCCCCCACAAACTCCAATTTGGGCCCCTTCAAAGCCCAGGGGATGCAAATGGGATGTTGCCCATTTTTATAGTATTTATTTAAATCCTTGCTGTGCGTATGACTGAAGGACTAGGAAACACCAGGGTTTGCTGCAGCTCCTAGATGAGTCGGAGCAGAGAAAAGAGTAGTTAAGGATCTTCTTTCGCATCTCTACACATTCTCTGCAGTTAGACTTTCCATTAGACTTTCCAGGGGTTTCCCATTCCCCCTGTGACTTTATCAGACTTGGCAGGCAGACAATGTCACGAAGAATATTTTCATTTTCCAGTCTCATTTCTGAGCTTCTTTAAAAGTGCTTTTCTCTAGGGCAGAACAAGGAGCATATTCACTGCCAGAGCGTCAGGGGCTCCCCTCTAAGTTAGCTACTACAGAGACGTGCAGGAAGACACAGGTACTGTCCTATAGCGTGTACAGCGGGGACATCTTCCCTGCACACATATGCAGAAATAGTCAATTACATCCAAACACGAACCTGTAGTTTGGATCAACTGGGAGGTGGTGAAAGACGTTTGCCATTTCCCACTGTTTTCTTTCTGAGCTAATCACTCCCTAAAGCTCTGGAAATGGGTCCCAACTGCAGGAGAGATAAAACATACTGCACGGGCTCCTGCCCGCTCCACAGCAAGCACAAAACCTCTCCGCCTTCTTGTCACTGCCAGACTATGGGAGACAAACCTGGCTCCTTCCCCACCCCTTCACCTCCTTCGGCTTCTTCCCAGCCTCTTCCTCCTGGCCAGGAGTTGGCAATTCAGGAGGCATCGCGTGCTACAGCAACAGCCAGATGTTCGGTCTTGACAGGCTCAGCGGGAGGTGGGATTGAAGCAGCATAATAAAGATCGCACTTAAGAGAGCACCCCCCACACATTTTCATCTCATGCAACACTTTTTTTTGAGGTACAGATAAATGTAAGTACTGTCTAAATCTTTAAGATTGAGCTAATAGCATGGAAAATGCACTCCTTGCCATGCACATAATTAGTCCTGTATCGCGAACATGAAATATTAATAAATAAAAATTAGCACCTATGTTGTGGCTGTGCTTCCAACTGCTTTTAAAATTAATTAATTCCCACCAGCTTGCGTGAGGCAGAAAACCATTATTAGCCTAGTTTTTACACGCGGAGGCGGAGAGCTTTCTCCAAACCGTGAGCTCCTCGTACGGCAGCATCGCCTCGCTCTTTAAATAGCACTTTTAACTCCTGGAGCTCAGATTACTTTGCAAAGGAAATTGGTTTCCTTTCCTGGAGCTGGGAGGAGCTAGGAGGAGAGGATTGCTGCCAAATCAGAGCAGCAGACATGTCTCCTTTGCAGGCACCGGGACCCAAGGAGGTTCTCTGTCCTGGCTCGGGGGCGATGCCCAAGGCCCTGTGCCACCCTGCTTTGGGCAGGCAGGATCCCCAGCTGCCAAGCAGGCTGACACACAGGACCTGCAATGCGAGCAGAAACCGCTGTGCCAGCTTTTCTAGGGCTTATTATCTGGTTCCTCTTGGCCAAGATCCTGAAGTCTGTCATCTCAGCCAAGGTTCCTGTGTCCCGGAGATGGAGACCTGAGCTGTGAGTTGGGGTTTGGGAGCCCCGAAGCCCCTTCCTGGGGCTGGATGCCCAAGGACAGGGATGGGACAGGTATCCATGCAGCTCCCTTCCAAGAGGCTGCTTTTTAAGATGGTTTTGGAGGCTCCTCTCAGCTGCTACTCAGCATGGGGGCAGGCTGAGAGCCCCAGCCACCATCCCCAGCCATCACTGTAACTCGTGCCCAAAGCAGAGGAGCTGCTTTGTGCCAGGACAAAGCACAGCTAATGGTGTAAATTAAATTGTCCAGGGCTGGAATTTATGATTAAAATATCCACAGCCTTCTCCAAGGCTCAGTAAGGAGCATGACCCACCAGAACCTGCACATGGGCACAGACACAAGCCGGCCCTCCCTGCTGGCCCTGGACGTGAGAGCTCCTGTGGTGAAAGGCATGGCTGTTTTGTTTCAGATCTGTTTGTTTGAAGTAATTCCATGGAAGAAGGAAAATAAAAAGGGCATTTGGGTTTGCTGCTGACAGGTAACAAAGGCCATTTTCAGCAGGGCTTGGCCCAGCCTCAGCTCACCTTGCTGCCAGGTCTTCCTCCCCCATTGAACCCTTTCACGTGAGCCCTGTCCCCAGACCTCTCTCCCATTTTCATGCTTCCCCTGACCTCCAATTGTCCCCAGACAATCTGGTAACTAAATTGTCCCCTTCTATGCTGGTAACAGGCAAAATGAAACAGGCTGTCCCCTGCAGCAGGATCCCAGCCCAGGTAAGTGATCCGTGTCAAGTGCAGGGGACTCTACGGAGCCAGAGGTTTGATTTAACTTCTGAGACAGTCCTGGGGGAAGAGAAACGAGAATTATAAGCACATTTTTTGCAGAAGCATACTATACTTTTGCTGGAACACAGCTGTCACCATCCTGGCTTCTGCAGAAACATGGGCAGCAGCCAGATACTTAGTATGTGGGAACCTGTCCTCCACCTATGGCCACTGCAAGGCAGAAAAGCATGTTTTTCCATCTCAGGAGCTGATAAGGGGGGTTAGGGACCCCTAGATCAGCAGACCAGCTCTAACAACTGCCTGCAGTAAGAGATAAATGCCGTCTCCCCCTGACCATGGCACCCTCAGATGCCCAACTTGCCCCCCCGTGCCAACCCAAGAGCCATGGGAGATGAGTGGGAGCAGCACGGAGCCTCTGCCTCTGACTGCCCACCTTGCTGCCGTACCAGAGAGGGAGAAATGAGATCTGGGCTTCTAATAGGAGCCAAATGTCCCATGTCTTCACAGCTGGGGCTTGCTTGGTGAAGAAACCAACAGGGTTTCTCTGAGGGCAAAAGCCAGCAGAGCTTGTGAGGTCTGTCAAGTGGTCCAAAGCCTATGGGAGACCAAGGGCAGAGGCTCTGTGTCTGCTGAGACACCAGACCTGGCGTCTGCTCTGTTTCAGCCTCTTTCTCACATAGGTAGCAGGTTTGCTCAGGTTTTACAGCAGCAAAATATAATTGAAAGGTAGCTGTTCCCCTTTCCAAATGCTCATTTAACTTTGGCTTACCAAGGCATTCATTTTATGCTTATTAACCTTTGGAGCACTGTTTTGTCCAGACTGCTAGACAAATTAACTTTTAAGAGGGGTCTGTATGGGTGTCTGCAAGCTCCCTGAGATGCAGAGCCGTTCTTAAGGCATATTTAATGACATGCATAACAGTCAGGTTATCTGTAAAGTAACACTTCACTGTGGACAGCAGTTCATTGGAAGTACCGTGGGTAAGTCCCAGAAAAAAAAATAAATAAAATAAATAAAAATCATCTAAAGAGGTGAGTAGTGAGGAGAATAAGGTGGTCAGAAAACTCCAGAAGATTCATCCATGGAAGAGCTGAACCCTGTGTGGAAAAGATTTACCTCGCTGTGGAAGGAGCTGCAGCTTCTAGGCGCTGAGGGTCTTGCAAAGATCCTCGCACACAGCCCCAGAGCTCACCCCATCAGCTGCACTCTTCAGCTCTCTCCTTCCTGATGACTGACGTGCTCAGGAGACTCCGTGCCCAACCCTGCCCCGTGCCAAATTTCCCTGAAAGGCCAACAATACGGAACTTGGGTCGATACTGCAAGAGGCGAAATCAAAGTCCGCTCTGAGCCTTGCTATCTCTTTAGAAAGGGACATGGTGCGAAGGTCAGTGCTCCCCTTCTCCTTTCTGCCCTGCACCAAATGTACAAACGTCCCTTGAGGATGCAGGGTCCCAGTCCTGAGGAGCCCACAAGGCAAGCTTGCTGTGGTTCAGGAGCTCGGTTAGCGTGCTCTGCGATGCAGCTGACACAAATCTTTTAAAATAGGCTCTGAAAGCATGTGCCAGATCCCTGTGCAGCGCAGCAGTACCCAAGCACGAGCCTGAAGCAAGTTAGAGGAAGGAGGTGGCAGTTCCAGTCAATATCCTAAATCACTCGGGAGAAGCCCCGTGGAAAGCAAATTCCCTGAGAATTGCCTGGAGTCAGAGATCCTCTCGTGCGACATATTTGCACGCAGCCCGGGTCTCCCCTTAACATACTTTGCCTTTTGTCTTGCTTTTTGGGCTTCGAGCGACAGCCCAAACGAAACGCAGGAGACAATGAAGGCATTAAAGGGAAATGTCATGCCTATCAATATGCGCCTTTGTGGCTGTGGAAGTGGAGGACGCCGTGATGTCACTGGTGGGAACAGCTCAAAATTTTCCATTGAGAAAAGGAATCTGGCTCTCACGGGGCCAGCACGTTCCCAAAGATGTGCCGTGCCACCCGGACGGGCAAATGAGGGCCTAGCAGCAAGGCAGCACGGGCTGGGAGGCTGGATTTAACTCTGAGAGCAAGGATGTTGAGGCTAGCACTCTCTGTATGGTACTGAGAAATAAAAGCAAGCTACCCAGCCTGTTACATGTGGCACAGCGAGGCCAAGCAGTGCTGCAGGTGAGTGACTTTGCACTGAACCTGGTGGCAATCTCAGGAGTTTGCTGCCTCTCAGCTGGGGCCAAGCCGTGGATCCCAGCTGGTTTCGAGGGCACGCTGAAGGGATGGGTCTGAAGGGATGCCCTCCTGGTGAGGTGTTAATTGGCCTTTTTAGCTTTGCTCCAAAGCGGCCTGCAGGCAGCAGGCTGGCACCCTGCAGCAGTGGTGGTTCGGAAGGCTCCTCATCGCCTCCCGGCCCATTTGGTTGCTCTGCTATTTTCAGTGAATTGTGTTACAGCTTTTGGGCTGGCGGCTCTCCCTTCTGCCAGATGTGCTGGATTTAGGTTGGGTGAACAGTTTTTGAATTTGAGACGGGCCAAAGCTGTGACTTACTTCCAGATCTGGATGTCACACTCCTTAAATTCCCAAGCAGCCCATTCCTCAGCGGGGGAATGAGAGGGGGGTGGCTTCATTTCTGGGCTGGGGCAAAAGCTGCTGTAAAACACTTCACCACCTCTTCTGCTCACCATAAACCTGCAACTTCCCCACCTGGGGATAAGAGTGAGAACACAGAGCCTCAGAGGGCGAAGTCCTGCCAAGCCTTCTGGTTTTCCTCTCTAGAGGCACCATTTCTGCTCCTTTCAGGAACAAATCCGGAGGAAAATTAGGGCAATTTACAACATCGCAGCAAACTTTGTAATGAGAAAGCAGGATTTCCTGTCAAACTGCGCGGGGATATACAGAGATCTATGGACTTCCATGCAAACACCGTGGGTATGAGCCTGACTGAGCAGCCTGCTCCTGAGGTCATGGTCTCTGTGTAGCACATCAGTTGAGAGACCCCGCATCACACATGGAGGAGGATAACTTCAGCCGAAGCGTGAGCAGTTCCTGCAGCCCAATTTTCTCCGGGAGAAGCGACGCCCTGGCAGCGCTGGGGCAGGGTTCAGAGTGCCTGTTTGCACTGCAGAGAGCAGCGCGGCCCCGCGCCAGCCGAGCTGGCTCTGAATGAGCTGCCCGAGATGGGGAGGACGCGACCCGCTCTGGCAGACCTCCCCGGCTCACGTGAAACTCGGCCGACCGAGACCTTGGGCGGGCTGGGGCACCCGTGCTGGCAGATCCCCATCCTGCTGCCCTGTGCCCAAGCCTTGGTGTTTGTCCTCGAGCACATCCTGCAGCCCCCCGATGTCCTCGTAGCGTGCCCGAGCCCACCGGAGGGACTGCTGCGCCCTGCCTCTTCTCACAGGGTGCAGAGGGCTTGCATTTCCCTCCCCTCACAGGCTGCAGATCCTGCAACGTGCCCGTGAGCTGACCCTTTCGTCGGGACGAATGGTTTCTGGCTCACCTGCCCCAAAAGTCAAGTTGCTGCAGCTCGAATTCACTCGGCGCCCCAAGGTGTGACGGAAAGGCCAGCGCTGCTCACATTCCCAAAGCAAAGCTGGATCTGCTCTAGTGAGAGAGAAATGAAGTATTAGCAATTTACTCTGTCATTAAATTCAGCTGTCCCAGCTTGGGCTTGCTCAGGAAGCAAACCAATTGAGGCTGAAGTTAACCAGGCACTTTTTGGGGTAGATTTGTACCGTAAAATGCAGCAGTTCTGGGTTGTCAGGCTTTCTGCACAGCACTCCCATGCAATACTAGCGAGTGAAGGGTCACACCAAATGTCTACCATATGCTGCACAGGTATAGTTTCCTCTCGTGGTTTTCATCATATTACATTCTGATTTTTTTCTGTTTCCTTTAAGATTTAATTCCCCAGGCTGTTGTTGGAAGTATATACGGTCGTAGCAGAAGGAATTTCACCTGCTCAAATCCAGTTTGAGGGTGCCAGACAGCGCTGTTTTTTCTATATGGCCTAATAAACATTCCACCCCTCGTCCCTCCGAGGTATGGCAGTCATTCCTTTCATATCCTCACACCTACCCACAGCCCCCGTGGCTGTGCTGCACGGGGCTAAGGTAACATAAGAGCCACCTGCTTACTTAGCAGAAGTGTGTAAGTGAATGTCACTACCACCTCTAATGTCAAGCAAAAGTCAACACAAAAAAAAAAGAAAAAGATTATATTCCACCAAAAGTCTTGGTCTGCAGGTCACCGTCCCCCTCTCAGCCTCCCCCTGCTATTCCAGGAAGGTCAACAGACCCCAGCAGGTCAGCTCTTCCCAGCGGGTCAACAAATGATACTGCTGACTTCATCCAGGCTTTTTAAGAGCATAACTGTTCAAAATGGGAAAGTGTATACAAAGCACAGACACAGCCGAATTACAGTACAAAACTTTCTCTGTTGCTAACTTGACCGAGCTGGTCACAAGCTACCTCAGCCAATTCTGTACTTAAGATTCTCATCATGAATTTCTACATGTGCTGAGGAAAGCTTACCTGTCACGGTTTGTGGACCACTGTCTAGCACCAGAGCTCTCACATCTTATGCAGCTTGCTGATGCAGTTCCTGCGTTTTGGGTGGAATTGTTATTTTCAAGGGACCTAGTCTCAGGGAAGCTGTTGATCATATTTAACAGCCAAAGTTAAACAAAAGACAGCCGATCAGGTAACTTACAAAACAAATGCTTGGGAGGCCACTTACGTTACTCTTTATCCAGGCAGATTTCCTTGGAAGTACCTTCTATGAACTATTTAAAACCAAATTACTTATCTTGTTGTAAAGGAGGAAGAACTGGGCTCAGAGAGATTCAGGGTAAGTATTGTTAAGAGCTAAAAGAGTAGTTTTGCAGTGATGCATTCTCTGTTTCCTGACTAAATCTGTCTTTCAGTCTTACTAAAGACACTTAGAAAGTATTTCAAACTTTCATTTGATGTGTAACATAAGGGTTTGGTCTTATGTTTAGTTAACAGTTTAGTTATGCTGCTCATGGCCACGGTAACTTTGACTAGCTGTTTTAAGATATTTCTGTAGCCATTAGGAAACAGAAATTGTAATATTCCACTTGGGTATAATAGAAGGGTGAATACCAGAAGCTCTTGAAGCAGAACTCATCCTTCAAATCGTGGGTGGGAGCAACATCTTCCTCGATTTCATAGCTTCATAGCTCAAGCATCAATAAACTTCCACCTCAACATCCACGTGCTCCGGAAAAGAAGGGTGCCAAGTAGGATGAGACTTTAGATTTCTCTAAACTTTCCCATTTTATGGGACATGTATTTCAGACCTCAAGAACCGTGGCTTCAGCTAGACATTGGGCCGTTCACAACCAGGTAGTGCTACACCAGCACTGCTGGGCTAGGAGGATGAGTAAACCAGAGAGGAGATGGTGTGGGAGGTGCACAGGCACTCCCCAGTCGATCATTGTACACTTACTGTTCTTAAGACCACTGGTCACACTCAAATTAGCTCTTAAACAGTGGATAGATTTCTTTGGGACTTCCCTCATCCCATAAGAAGCTTTTTGCTATTTCTTCTTCCTTGATGGTTAATAGCAAGATATGAGTCAATGCACAAGGCTGTGTCTTTTTGGCAGCCACCTTTCCCTTCTCTAGCCTTATCTCTTTAATGGTGTTTTAATCTAGGCTAACCACGTCGCTAGCAGTGAATCATCTTCTAAGTGACAATGAATTATGTTAGTAGGAGGGTGCCACTGCAGGCAGCACATGGCTGGTAGGAAATAAGGGGGAGGATGAGGAGATGGCTGCAGGAGTCTGGGTAGAAAGTGTTACCTGGATGTGAAAGCACAGATAGGACCGTGAGTAAACCATTAATGCCCAGCACGAATAGTCTGCACTAGCCTCCAGAAAAGCCCTTGACGGATCAGTACCGTGCTCAGTATTGGTGTGGTGTTTTCTTTTCCAAGCTACCCAGTGGAAAGACGGAGGGCACAGGGAGCAGTGCGGGATGGCTGTGCCAAGACCTGCAGAGCCTGGGCAGACACCAAGGATAGAGGCACGGAGCATGAGAGGGTGGCACAGCCCCCTCTGTCCCCTGAGCCCTTCGTTTTCCAGGGAGACACAGTACTGAGGATGCTGGGTGTCTGCCGGCCTTTCAGATACCCAGGGAGACAGGCCACATGTCAAACATGCTATTTGCCAGGAAGCACTCTTATTGATTTTTTTGATAAGAGAGTAAAATATTGGCAAGGGTTTATCTCATTGCTTATCACCCGCTTCAACACAGAGCAAATTTCAGGCATTAGTCCTGTACGTTCTCGGCAATCGTGTAGAAAGCTTGTATAAATCCATTCACCTCCCAGCAGTGTTGTTTCTGGAAGAGCTGCTCTGGAGCAGTTATTCAAGTGCTGTGCAGGACAGAACACTAGGCAAACAGCACAGAGAAGATTATTTGGGGCTCCAGAACTGCCCCATGCAGAAGTCTGCACTGGAAAGCATTTGCTACACTGGTGTGCCCTGTCTCAGAGCTGAAAAGTATCCAGACGGGATTGTGGATCACAGCCCTTCCTCCATTCCTTGCACGTGGCTCTCATTTGCTTCAGCCCACACAATATGAAACCAGGCTGATGAGAAAGAAAAAAAAAAAAAAAAAAAAGGACATTTTGTATTACACATCTGCTACCAGCAGCACAAGGAAACAGGGCAAGTCCTTCTCAGCAGGGAGAAAACATCCTTGTGCCCTAGACCTAAGGGACAGCTCTCTTTCAGCAAGGCTTAAGAGAAACATGCTCCTAAAAAGGCAGTAAATAAATTGAGATTCAGCCTGAAAGAATGCAGGCTGGTACGTTTTGGGGGAGAGGGGGAAGGGAGGAAAGGGAGGAGTACGAAGTTAAAGGCACATGAAGTCATGAAAAAGCTGAGAATCTGTAAACAGACTGAAGCACAGCAAATGCAAAGCACCAGGGTTGGAAACAACAAAAACAACAACAACAAAAACACCAACCTTGGGGGATTTGTGCTGCATATACTGCTGCAACAGCGTAGGGAAAAATAACCAAGGGATCTAAAACTGTCAGTGGCCGTGGCCGAAAACCCTATGCCTCTTTATTTCCCAACTCCAGAAAAGCCCCGATGTTTTTCCCCCGCAAGCTGTCCATACCTGGGATCCCAGCCCTGAGGAGCCAGCACAGCTGCCCCGTGCCACGCTTACAGCCCGCACCCGGAGGGGTCGGTCCCACCCGGTGGGGCTGGGGGCACCGCCGGGAATGGGGGTTTTGGAATTTGCTTTGGGAGGTTTGTTAACACGACGTACGTACCCCATGTTCTCAGCGCTACACCGAGTTTCTAAGAAGCGTATGTAATATTATATATTTATCTGCCTGTACTTCCTTCTTCAAAACATGTTGTCACAAACATACCGGGCTTGTTAAAGCATTGGATCCTATCTTTGCAAGATCCCCTTTTCCTGTTGGGGATACGCTTTAAGCCCGAGGTTGAGCGTGGGGAGCGCCGACAGCAAAGCAACATAAACCACTCCCACCGCTGCGGAAAAATAAGATAATTTCACCAGCACCTGCTCCTGCCATGAAAATGCACGGAGAGGAGCAGAAAGCTGATGGAAAAGCGCCCCTATTCAGCACGAGCACTCCCATGTCACGGCAGATTTCCTTCTGCAGGGACGCGAGCTGTGTTGCCAGTCGGTGCAGGGCTGTGAGGTGGGGTGGTAATTCTGGCCCCAGCAGCTCCTCTGGGGCTGTTTCAGCTGCCTAGCCAGCCCAGCTGAGTGTTCCCCTCTGGGACTCCTTGTACAACTGCAGGGAGTCAAAGCCGATGCTTTCCCACTCGAGCATCATCAATCTTGCCCTAGAGGAGTGGATGAGCAACCAGAGTAAAACCAGCAGATTGCTTCCAGGCACGGGTCTCTCTTATGCTTCTTACACAGAAAACAGACAGCCTGATTTTGATCTGGGTGTATGTGAGTGCCTGGGTCTCCCTCAATGATTTTTTGAATCCCAAAGTTTGGTGATGGAGTTGGCATTTCCAGGGCTGCGTCACGTTCACGTCAGGTCAGGTCCTGCCAGCAGGGAGCCCACATGCCAGAGGAAACATGGTGGGGATGGACCTCATAGCCTCCCAGCTTCAGCAAGAGCTTCAGCTGAAGCTTTTATTTCCTTAGTAAGTCAAAGCTGAGACAGAGATCTGTAGAAAACCATGCGGTCACAGCCCTTTTCCTTGCTGCTCTTCATCTTTCCTACCCGGCCTCCCAACACGCTCTATCAGCCTGCTTCGCTTTGGGAGTACAACACTTAAGAGGAAAGTGAAGTTAAATCTAATGGGCATAAAAATCATGTTTTATAATTTATAACAATTTTCTCCCCTGTACATCTTCACGTGTGCCACAGGCTTTTCTCAAGGCCTCAGTTCCACAGCCAGGACTCTGAAATCACAAAATGATCTCATGCATTTTTCTTTGCTCTCATTTCAGTCTCCCCACCCTTTTCCACTGTATTTGCTACAAATGAAGCATGCCTTCCAGTATTCATTTTTAACACTCTTTTTTAAATGCCATTCTAGCCTCTTCCTCCTCCTCGTTTATTTTACTATTTTTTTCTTTTTGCCTATCTTTTGTCTATCAGTCCTACTTCTTTCCTTCTGCCCTATTTCAAAATCTCCCTATCAGCTAAGCCTACTGTCTTTAAACAGCGATGTTGTCTGCTTCAATAGGAGCCAGGTTAATTCCCATGGCTTTCATCTTCACATACTTACTTATTTATTTTTCCTGCATCCTGTTGCTGACCTCCCTTCCCATCCCCGTTCCTGTTTCAGTCTTTCTCCCCTGTACCTTGCTTGAACTTCACTTTCCACTGCTCACCTCACACCGCTCTGCTCCAGCCCCTCCTTGCTTCTCTCCTGCCTTTTTTCATCTAACCATCTCAAGACAAACAAGCTGCCTAATCTACCATCTAGCTGGCTATTGAGCTTTCCTGTCCACACCCACCGCTGCTGTATGTGAGCACCTAATATATATTAAGATTAGGATCTCTCTTGTATCCTCCCCCTGCCTTTCCAAATTATGTTGAAAAGATTGATGTGTGTGTTTTTGTTCCAGTAGCTCTGCCTCTTCCTTCAGTGCTCCTTGATGTCCTGGAGAAACAGAGAGCCAGGGATGTGTGGTACAGAAAACTGTTGTGAGTGCTTACCCTTTAAATACATGAGAGCTTCACTGCCTTCCTCCCAAAAGATGTAATGACATTCAAGTCAGTGGAAAGACTGAGACTAAACTCACCAGGAGCAGGAACAGACCCCTGGGAAAAGAGAGGTTGCAAGGGGATGTGTGAAAAAAAAAAAAAAAAAAAAAAAAAGAAATGGATGTGAGAGATGTTTGCAGAAAATACGGGAATAAAAGGGGTCATTAGAGGAAGCCCATGTCACCTGAAATGTGATCTTCTCCCTTGTAATCAAGATCTCCCTTGAATTTTGTATTTTCCTAAAACCAATCATCTCTTCCCAGGGTGGGTCTTCAGAGGCTGACCGAGACAGCAGGGTAAAGGAGGATCCACCCACCATGATTTCAGCTATTTCTTTGCCATAGTTCATAAGAAAGCCATTTTCCCCCAGCCACTGCTTCCCCCGAACATCTGCGCTATTCCAGGAAATAAAACAGAAATGTGGGACTTCTGCTTCACCCAAACTGAACCACAGCAGAAATATGTGTAGGTCTGGAAGGGATTCAGTAGCCCTGACAATAGCAAAGAGGAATGGATTCTGCTCCTCTCCATCCCCAAGTCTTCCACAAAAACAGAAGAAGACAAAGAGAGACCCTTACTGGAGTCCCTGGTCTCTCCATGGGGCCAGGAGGGAAAGGACACAACAGAAACCAGCCAGAAGGGTGGAGAGACACAGACCTCTCCTCTCCTAGATGCAAGAGAGATGAGGAGATGGGAAGCGAGGACAAAGGTCTCTTTGTGGTCTGTGAAGTGTCTGGGAAAAGCAACAGCCCTGAGGGCAGGGTGCTGGGGGTTACACGGGAGCCTGAGCACAGCCTGGCGGGTCGGAGATGTCTTTGGTGCTACAGTGGGAGAGGGACAAAGGCAGAGTCCTTCTGCACCCACCTTTTGGAAGGCATGCTGCCAGCTAAGGCTGGCTAGGCTTCTGCAGCAGGCAAGCACTTCTCCAAAGCACAGGGGATAAGCGCAGAAAATGCAGACAGGAAAAACACCCTGAGCTGCGAGCCAGATTTAAAATAAATAAATAAAAGAAAAGGAGAGAGAGAGAGAGACTGGAAGAGAGACAGTATGTGGAAGGAGAAAGGGGGAAAGAAAAACAGGATCATAGAAAAAAAAATATTCAAAATCTATTAGTTCACCAAAATGCAGATCAGCAATGTTCTGTTAGATCAATTGTGCCAGTAAGCTAAAACTGCCTTGACTTGCCCGATCTAGTCACCAGAGTTCTTTAACTGTATTAGCAGTAAATGATGTGTATTTTCCACAAGGTTCTTGCCACCAGAATCGAGCTCCTGTAGGTTTAATTTCTCATCCTTTCCTTCAGCAGGAGCTGAAATGGAAACAATGAAAAACGGGATTCATGCTGCTCACTATTTCTCCTCTCTTGATTACCCACACTTTCTACTACAGGCTGTGTAGTTAGCAGCTCCTCCAGCCATGGTGAGGCTTTGCAGCACATACAGCATGACAGCAGCTGCATGTCCTATTCTCAGATCCTGAAACCACAGTATTTGGGGAAAAGTCACATTCAGACATGCAGTCCCTTTACCAGTCTTCCACCGGTACCTAGTCTGTGGGGCTGCTGCCTCTTGCCACAGGATGAGAGAAAAATAAAAAAAGGAAAAAAAGGAAGGTACAGTGGTTGGAGAAGGTAAGTTGTGGATTAATTTTAAGCATGGGACTCGACTTCAGTAGCATTTGTGGCCCAACCATCCTTTATCATCCCCAGCAGATCCCAGTGATCTGACTAGTCGCTGCACTAATTAAGCTTGCACTGAATCTCACAGGTCTGTTATCCTGGTATTCCTACAGAAGGGGGATCCGAGTAAGTACTAGTGCCTGCCAGAAGTACATCTCACATTTCTGCAAGGCCCCAAACCTGCTTCTTTACTTATACCTGCAGGCAACAGCTCATCACTACTGTGTAAAATGTGGCCTTGCATTTCCTGAATTCAGTGCAATTAAAATGTCAGTCCATAACACTGAATTCATACAGTTTATTTTTCCACTGATTGTCTCATAGATTCAGAGAAATATCTGCAGGAAGCAAAAGACATTAATTCTATGTCCATTCAGATGAATTACAACCCCAAAATAATAGCTGTGGAGTTGTTTGCAAAAATCAGTAGACTACAAAAACAACAGTGTGTAGTTTGGGAAGAAAGATAATCGTGTTGATGTACACAAGAAGAAGAAGGGTTGCAGTATAAATAATGCAAGAGCAAAGGAAGAATGGACAAACAAAAAGAGTGTATTATTGGCAAAAATCAATAATAATCATCATACAGTTTTTATAAGAACCAACCTTTCTTGGATACGTAAGTGCATGGAGTGTACCTTGGTAGCCTAAAAATCAGAACGTTAAGGAGAAGTAAAGAAAATCATGTTTTTACCACTTGTCAGATAAAACACAACATATTTCTGAGTAATTAAGGCAGTATGCCTGCTGGCAGAGTAGCAGTGTACAATACTGTCATCGCTATATTGGGGGAACTCGGACCTGCCAACTCGGAGAAATTGTGGCTTCCTAGAAATTAGCAATTTCATCTGATTAGTAGTGAAAACATTTTTTCTCTTTCCTGAAATAATGTCTTCAATTTTGGGGACTGATTTCTTGGGGATCTCCACACACCAAACTTCAACACAAAGAGCGTGCCTGATGTACTTCTGGAGACCAGCTGCATCACAGAGCACAGTTTAGGAAGCATTTTCAGAAAAGCACTTCTCTGATATTTAAATGCCCCAGGTGGCGAAGAGAATAGCTTTTCCACTGTGCCCACAGGCTGCTTTTCCCTGCTGCAGTGAATTGAAGGGACCCCAGCTGAAACAGCAGATCATGCACCGTGTTCTCGGTGCATCTCAGGGTGCTTTTCTTTCCTTCCATAAGAGCGTCTTGATTTCTTAGTGGAAGCTGAAGGATGC